ATAACTGGTCTCTTGGCCTCCAGATTCTTCCTACTCCATTTTATGCTACCTGCTGTGGCAAAATATATGTATATACATATTTTCTCAAAACCCAGATCTCATCAGTCCACCCTTCTGTTCAGGAGTCCTAGGTGGCTCCCCACTGCCTTCAGGATAAAGTCCATATGCCTTGACCTGGCATTTAAAACCCTGTAAAACAAAACTCCAGCCTACCTTTCCATCCTTCTTTCTCGCTGTTCCCCATTTGGGACCCCTTATTCTGGTCACACTCAACCATTCCCAAATACGCTTTATGTTTGTCTTTCTCCCTTCCTGCCTTTTCTCAAGCTATTCTCTTTGCCGCAGATTCCCTCCCCCATCCCCACTGTTACTTATTTCAATTCTAGCAATGCTTTGAGGCTCAGCTCAGAACCTACCACCCACGTTAAATGAAAGAAGCCAGACACAAAAAGAGGACATTATGAATGATTCCATTTATGTGAAGGTCACGAACAGGCAAAACTAATCGATTGTGGAAAAAAATCAGAGCTGTGGTTGCCTTTGGGGAATAGGGATTGATTGGAAGGGTCACAAAGGGGCTTTTTGGGGTGTGGAAATATTCTATATCTTGATTCCACTGGTGGTTACGTGAGTGTGTACATTTGTCAAAATTCATTTAATTGTACCTTTAAGATCTATGCATTTCTTTGTATTGTAAATTTAATCTAAAAATAAAAATCTTACCAGTTAGATCTCACTGGCAAGAATTCACTCCTTTGTCCATTATTCTCTCAAAGCACTTTGTCCACACTGGTAGCATATCACTTAACACAGACTGCCTTCCATGAAGATTATTCATGTACATCTTCCCATCCCCCACTGCACATGAGCTTCCCCCTAGGGCCCTCACATACCAAGCACTCAACAAACATTTGTGAGATTGAATTGAGGCCAGAATCATAAAAATGAACAAGAACAGGTATCACATATTAAGCACCTACTGTGTGCCAGGCTATATGCTAAGTACCTTACATATATTTAATTATATATATGCATGTGTTTATACTTACGTGTATCTATCACATATATACATAAATGTATACACACACGTGTATATGACCCCCATGAGATAAACAAAGTAGCCATTAAGTGTGAAAACAGACAAATATGCATAACAAATTGACTGGTTTAGCTACATTACGTTATAACACAGGCAAAATAATAGTGTCTATGATTCTAAACTTTATAGTCCCTGTGTGATTGTGTGCATGTGTATATGTTATGTATTGTTATCAGTCTCCGTTTTACATGGAGGATACTGAGGCCCAGGGTCACAGAAGCACGTCGTGCTGGAAGTAGGATGCAAACCCAGGACTGCCTGGTCTCAGAGTCGTTAAGCCGGACTGCCGGGGCCGGCCCGGTGCTGTAGTGGTAAAGTTCGCTCGCTCTGCTTCGGCGGCCAGGGGTTCGCAGGTTTGGATCCTGGGTGTGGACCTATGCACCGCTTATCAAGCCATGCTGTGGCGGCGTCCCATATAAAGTAGAGGAAGATGGGCACAGATCTTAGCCCAGGGCCAATCTTCCTCTGCAAAAAGAGGAGGATTGACAACAAATGTTAGCTCAGGGCTGATCTTCCTCACCAAAAAAAAAAAGGTGGACTGCGTCCCAAGTGGCATCACATAACCCCAGAAGAAATGTGAGATGTTTCCAGCCAAGAGACTTAAAAACAGCAGTTTCCCTGAACTTGAACATTGTATACGAAGTGTGTGTGTGTGTGTGTGTGTGTGTGTCTCCTCACAGATGTAAAGGCTGTTTGGGGCTCCCATGGCTCCAGGAAGGGGTGCTAAGCAAGAGGAGGACTTGGGTTTATAATCCTAACTGCATCATTTATCTGCTGCATGGCATGACCTCAGGCAAATTATTTTTTTAAAGATTTTATTTATTTATTTATTTTCCCCCCAAAGCCCCAGTAGATAGTTGTATGTCTTAGCTGCACATCCTTCTAGTTGCTATATGTGGGACGCGGCCTCAGCATGGCCGGAGAAGCGGTGCGTTGGTGCGCGCCCAGGATCCGAACCCGGGCCGCCAGCAGCGGAGCGCGCGCAATTAACCGCTAAGTCACGGGGCCGGCCCTCAGGCAAGTTATTAAACATCACCCATCTTGGGTTCTCCCACCTTTGACACTGGTGTAATAACAGTGCCTACTTCATGGCGTTTTAAGGGAGGATTCAAGGAGATAATGCGTGTAAACCTCTCAACACGTGTAAGTTCTCAGTAAACATTTGTTGAGTACATTATTATTATCATTTTGCTATTTTTACCATGATTACAACTCCCTACCCTCCTCCTCCTTCTGCCACCCACCCTACAACAATTCTTTGGCCTGCTCCCAACCCCTCCCTTTCCTCAGAGGGTAGAAACCCAGGATATAGTCCTCTAAGAGCAGCTGTGACAGATCACTTCATCATGAACACATCACAGCAGCCAGTCAGCCCAGGGAGGAGTAAAAGCATCGGCTAACTCCCTGGTGGGTGGTGACTCTAGAGGATCCCTAGCTGATTTGGGAAAAGAAAGAATCTTTCCCTTGTTTTTAAAGACTCTTTGCCACCTGCTTTTGGCTTCTTCTTGCCTAACTCATTCTGGAATGAGGCAGTTAGAAGCCTTACCACATGGTGGATGGGGCCGCTGTGACCTGAGCGCCCTCCTTTAAACTGCAGGTGAAGTCCAGGCCCTGGAATTCAGGGGCCGGGGTGGAAGGCTGGCACCGGCCAGCTGGAACCTTGCCCTTTGGGATTCTGCCTGAGGGGGGCGGGCGGGGGATGAGGGTCCCCCCAGTAGTTCTTTTTTTTTTTTTTTTGTGAGGAAGATCAGCCCTGAGCTAACATCCGTGCTAATCTTCCTCTTTTTTTGCTGAGGAAGACCGGCTCTGAGCTAACATCTATTGCCAATCCTCCTCCTTTTTTTTTTTCCCCAAAGCCCCAGTAGATAGTTGTACATCATAGTTGCACATCCTTCTAGTTGCTGTGTGTGGGACGCAGCCTCAGCATGGCCGGAGAAGCGGTGCATCAGTGCGCGCTCCGGGATCCGAACCCGGGCCACCAGTAGTGGAGCGCAGGCACTTAACCGCTAAGCCACGGGGCCGGCCCCCCCACGCTAGTATTTCTGAAGACCAGACCTGAGGGTTTCCTGCCCTCAGCCTGAAACAACCATCTGGTAGGTGGAGGACTTACCAGGGAAAAGCCCTCGACAGTTCAAGCTTTTGGTCTTTTTGATTTGTAGCGTGCAACAGGCTAGTGTTATTTGAAATAAAATAATGATTTTTCTTGTTATTACAAAAGCAGCCCATGCTCATTGGGAGAAAAGAACAATGAAAATGCAGATAAATATAATGAAGAAAAAAATTAAAAACCCATAATTTTCCATCCAAAGAGATTGTTCTTCCCTTTTTCTCTACTTAGAGGAAGGCCATTGCCCCGGGATTAAATGCACAAGCTCTCTGAGCTAGACTCTAATCCTAGCTATACACATGTGGGCTAGTCTCTTAAACTCTCTGAGCCTCGGGTCCAGCCCCGTGGCATAACGGTTAAGTGCGCGCTCTCTGCTGCTGGCGGCCCGGGTTCGGATCCCAGGTGCGCACAGATGCACCGCTTGTCAGGCCGTGCTGTGGCAGCGTCCCATATAAAGTGGAGGAAGATCGGCACAGATGTTAGCTCAGGGCCAGTCTTCCTCAGCAAAAAGAGGAGGAATGGCAGATGTTAGCTCAGGGCTGATCTTCCTCACACACGCACAAAAAAAAACTCTCTGAGCCTCATTGCCTCAACTGTAAAGTGAAAATAAAAAAAGCATCTATGATATTTTATTTTTTTTGAGGAAGATTGGCCATGAGCTAACATCTGTTGCCAATCTTCTTCTTTTTCTTTTTTCCTCCCAAAGCCCCAGTACATAGTTGTATATCGTAGTTGGAGGTCCTTCTAGTTCTTCTATGTGGGACACCACCTCAGCATGGCTCCATGAGCAGTGAGTAGGTCTCGCCCAGGATCTGAACTGGTCAACCCCAGGCCACCGAAGCGGAATGTGTGAACTTAACCACTACGCCACAGGGCCAGCCCCAGCATCTATGATATTAAAAAGTTTATTTAAAAAAATTTTTTTATTGGTGCAGCCTCTATGGAAAACGGTATGGAGATTCCTCAAAGAATTAAAAATAGAGATGCCCTATGATCCAGCCATCCCACTACTGGGAATCT